TATATATATATATATATATATATATATATATATAATATGAAATATTGAATCTGATAGATCTTAAAAATATTTTGCTAATCTTTTACCTTATAAGTAGATTTTTTACGTGCTAAATACTTTCTTACAACCTTGTATCGTGTTTCGCCGATTTAATAATCTTATGTATATCGTAGGTTTCTTGATCATCTTAAATTGATCAATTTTCGTCGTTATCTTCATTTCCTATTTGTCCGGCGTTAAAAGAAGAAAACCCAACGATTCATCTCAAGAATAAAAATAGTACGACGATAAACGCCACGAACGTCGTAAATGTAGGCAAAACTTGACTGACGCCGCTAGCTTTTCCATATCCTACGTCGACGACGTGAATCTTCCATCCCAAATGAGTGTGCGTGAAACACTGAATAAAAGAAAAAGATACAAAATATATGATAATATTTAGTGTCGAAAATTTCGCAAAATGAAATAAATTTTAAACCATTTACCATGGAAATAGTTCATATACTGACAAACAATCGATTGATTTCTTATTTTTTCTTTATAAATTTGTACCTGATAATATACTAAATCCGGTGTGTCTTTCTCTACGGTCCATACAAGCTTGGCAGGTTCGCCCATATCACACTTAAGTTCAAGCGTTTCGAAGAAGCTCTTAAATGTCTCGTAGTTGTCTGGATTCTCTACCGTGGTACGGACCCATTCGCAATAACGACCGGCTGCGGTCGGGACAGCATATCCCTCCTCATCCAGCTCTACGCCGGCATATACCTTTTCCTCTTCTTGTTCCTCAATTTTTTTCTGTCCCATACCACCTTGTGCACTGCTAGTTATGTAGAATGGATGATATCTGTCGATAGCATACGAACGTTTTACATGAAGCTTCTACAGTGCCATAATATTTCTGTGCAGAGGTGTTATAGCGATCTCGCGCTACGTATGTGCACTTTGAACGGTGTCATTGCGAATAAGAATTCAACTCACCTAGCAGGATTAGAAGGTCTGTCTCCACCCTCTACAATGAAAGTATAAGTCTGACCTCGCTCGACTTGGAGCTCTGGGATCAGCTGGTCATTGATGTACCATGCGATGCCCCAAGAGGGGGTACCTAAATTGCAATAAAGATTCAGTCGCTGATCAATAAGCTCAAAATACTATATACATTTTTTAATGATTATTCTTAGCATTACAATGCTTATATTAATACTGTTTAGTATAACTGTTAAAAGATAGTTTAGCATGACTTTAAAAAAATAATAGAGCAAATTTTAAACAGTATTTTTTATGTTTATTCTGCAGCATTATATGTACAAAAAGAATTGATAGAAATTATGTAAATATATTCATAGCCCAAATATTTATAAATCAGATGTAGATTAAAAATATTTAGAAAATGCTACTAAAAAATACATTGACAAATTTATTAATATCATAGATATCTAATAAAACATATTTCTAAATTAAAATTTAATTAAATAACACTTGGTGTATTAAGAATTTCGTTATTACATTAACATGGTATAATTTTTTATTTTCTAAAGAGAAAAGAATTTTAAAAAACTTTTAAATGTGCCGTGATCACACACACAATACCTGTTATATGCGAGTATCCCCTTTTTGAGCCAGTCGGTCCAATTCTTGCACTAAAAGTATGTTTATCAGTGATAACAGCCGGTGTCCAAGGTTTAAGTATGGCATCGTATGAAACATTGTACAGAGAATTTGTACAATCGTGCACATTTTTTGCCGTAAAATCAATACGAATATCCTCAGTGTTTACATCGAATTGCTCATGAGCATTGGCTTCGCCCCTTATATTTAGAGGTCCGATGGCAACAATCACGCTCATTTCCTTTTCTAAAATCATCTTGTCCATCACTGGCTCATTAGTCCTCAAAGGACGCATGTATGCAACTGTAATTGGAATAAATCGCAAAACGATTATTTTTCGTATTTTAACTTAATCCTATGTAGTAAATCTTCAAATTTCAATACATCGCAGCAAAATTTAGGCCTACTAAATGACATAATATAAGATTCTAAAGGATATAAATATTATAAATAAATAAAATGTACATTTTAACATTCATCACAGTAAGAGAAATTTGAATTCCAAAATAATGTTATAAAATCACTATTACTACTTGATATGCCAACTTGTTCTAATTTAGTTAATTATTAAATAAACAAAAATAAACTTTTGTTACATAACAGATGGTAAAAATTTTACGTAAAATAAAAACCAACGAGGAAATAGTCGCATACCCAAATAGCCAAGTATTAGCAATGTTTATATGTTCAAATTTGATTAAATTCACTGTCAATCTGTCAATATCGCTAATATTGCTTTGTAAGATATATATTGGATTGTATAATAAATAAATTCGGATTTTCTTATAAAAAGTGTTATTGTTTTTTACGCAGCACGCTTAAAAAATCGTAATACGGGCTAAATTTGATACAACATCGACAAACAAATATTTAATTTACGTGTCAATCAAACTGCCTAACGAAAAAAGTAGACAGATTCATTTAAAAAATCCGAAATTACTTATTACACAATTTAGTATACAATAAGCGCATACATTAGCCGCATACGTTATTTCCTCTGCTCCAATCGCTTATATGTATGTATAATAGAAATGTGTACCCGATGTTATGCCGTTCTTCCGGTCTCCACTTACGAACACCGCGTCGTTTCGCCCACCGATCCTTTTATCCGGACATACGCCCCTCTTGCCGTTGCACTGAGCAAGATCTGACACGTGATAATCTTCGGCAAAGAATTTGCCAGTGATATTGTCGAACCCGACTACGACGACATCGCCACCCATCATTCGGGCTCTGCCCTGCTGACCCGACAATCCAAACGCTATGTACTGATTCTCTTCGATGCGTCCTGAGAGCCGAATCTGCACATCCTCGTTCATCAGCTCCCACTGCACTTGAACACGGCCCTGTAGCATCTCCTTACAATTGATCACAGTTCCTTCCTTAGGTCTCGGTGTGCTACTTGTCTGGAAAGGAAAATAAAAGGACGTCAGTCGTAATTTCACTGCAACAGAAGTATTGCAGAAAAATTGTTCAGGCATTGATCGTATAGTTCTTACCGGATTGTACCACCACGGCGGCTATTCCATTTAAAAATCAAAAACAACGTTATTATTGAAGCAACATATCAATACAAATATAGAACTAAAAATAAGTCATCATATTGATTAATATGAATCATAAGAATAATATAATTTTGTTACATCATCGAAAAGATAAGTTAAAGAATTCTTAAAATAAAATTGACAGTCTCGACTTTTGCTTATCCGTGAAGCTTATGCAGTTGCCTAAAAATGACCAAAAATAAGAGTCTTGCTAAAGTTCCATTAGCGGCTAAAATTACGTGTATTTCATCACGAAAAGATGCGAATGTCCCTCTTCACCACAGTGCATTCAATACACCTCTACTAAAGCAAAGCCTTTCATCGCGTGTATCAAAGAGCGCAGAGTCGCGTATATTATCATTTCATAGTGAACGTTAATGAGGGTATGTAAGGGCGGCAAAGTTTCGGACGTATCAGGCTGGTGGATTGGAGAACTCATTTTGGTTTACCGTAATTTTCGTTTGGCCGAGAGCTGGAGGGACGTCGAGGTCCTTTGGAATTAGAACATGCCCGAAATTGTGTCTGTATTCAACGCACCACACCGCAAGCCAGCTGATATCGTACACTGTCAAGCTCCCCGGTAGGACGATCTCAATGTCCACTCCTTCGTATCCTCTTAATGGTGCCAAACTGTCGGCGGATCAGATTAATAATCATTTCGCGATTGTAATAAATACGTCTTAAAGTGTAAACCCAGTTCTCTTATTATCCCCAAAATATTACGTTTCTCAAGGAGTGCACTTGAAATAATATTTTAAAATACATTCTTCTCAGAATACATAAATAAAAAATTGCATTGTTAAGTAAAATTTATTTTTATGTGAAAATGTGTAAAACAAATTTGCCGTTTTAAAATAAATTGCGCCGCAAGTAATAAATTGTATATTTCATTCGACAAAACTGTGTAATCAAAACGAGTTTTTGAACTGATTTCCATCTAATTTATTGCATGCAGAATACATATTTAATTATTGGTTTTTAGATAGAAATTAATAATAATTTTCACACAAAGTAAGTTATTAATATTATTTTACTGCACTGATATGCGTTTTAACTTACCTGCCCACTTCATTGGGGACCTTGATACCGAAATGGCTGGGTTCCGAGCCATTGCCCACCCAGAAATAAGCGTCTGGACCGCCGCCGTCGTAATGCAAATTCGGAATGTAGATGGTTTTGCTGTCTAGAATACTGATGTTACCGCTGCGGAGACCGTGCGCCAATCTCGAAAACTCGGGAAGTACTTGCAATTTTGGTACTTTCAAATTATCCGGTATGAAAACGTCGCCGAAATCGACCTAAAACATATAAGAATACACATACTTACTTCTACGCGCAACTTTTTATAACAATCACTTTTGCACAGATTGCTTTATATTTTCGATAAATCTCTACATATTTCTTGTATATTAACATTTTATTTTAATTCTGAATAATTTACCGAAAATATTTTAAAAATAATTAATCTTGATAAAAAACTATGGAATAACGATTACAAGAGCGTAGCTTATGTAAAAAAAAAACAGAACGTTACATTACATATGGATTATACATATATTTGTTTGCAATTGGAGACACTTTCCCAAAATCACCCCGGCAAGCTCGCTAATTTATCCTTCTGAAGACATGCATTTGCAGCCTTGCGGTGTCGAAAGAATCGATCTATCATTCCGACGTTCGAGCTGACGTACCAATAAAAGGTTTTGGCTCGTTTATATTCTAAGTTCCGTCAAACGTTTCAGTGCGAGAAGAGGAAGTCGAAAAGAAAGAAGCAGAAAGAAAGAGAGAGAGGGAGAGAAAGAGAGAGAAAGAATGACAGAAAGTAAAGGAGCAAGTTATCGGTCGAAGGTCCGTAAAATCCGAGAAACGGATTCCACTCTTCGTCGTATAGCGAGCACGGCCCCATCCGTCCTCCTTCTCCAGGGAGCGTTTTGTGGGAGAAAATTCAACGTTTGTCGCGATTTCTCAACTCATTCCGAAACTCTGAACAAATCTATTCGTAAATGGCGAAACAGCGAGCTTATATTATATCGGCTTTCCTCGAGAGTGGATTTTCTTCATTTTTCGGTCTCGTAAGAATACTCTAATCGGGTTTCTACAAAAACAAAATCCTCTATTAAAAACTTTCTTACACAAGCAAGTCTGAATAATAAACACAAATCAGTCTTAATATTTTTACATTCATTAACCGCTGTACATAATCATTATGCGACGTGCCTAAGCGCGTAAATTTTTGACAATCTGATCGTACTTCAAACATCGTACATTCCATCTAAAAACTATTGTAGCTTCATTTTCGTATAAAAATTTTCGTTTCTAAATGAATTCAGGCATCTGCTATTAACAGGTATTACGGTTGATCTGGGACATCCTGTCTTGATTTTAATCAATTCATCAGTGTACAGTAGTGTTATTATATTTTCCTTGCATACATATCACTTGCGCAGTCACGCTCGCATATTTTGTAGATTTAATTTTACAAATTTGACTCTAGCTTTTACACTAGCTTTTTGAAAGTAATTGCATTGACATAAAATTATGCGCTGCTTTCCGCGGAAATTAAAATGAATATATTATAATTACGAGTAAAGCTTCTCATTGCAATTCTGCGTCCCAATTATGATCAGTAATTGGATAATTAAAATTGAAATGAGCTAATTGCTGCTGAAACAGAAGTTGAATGATACTGCCGCGAGAAAAATTAAATCATGATAAGTTGTGTGTATGCGGGAAGACAAGAAGTTGCCCTGCTGGCAAGCAGTTCGTTAACTAGGATTATGTCTTTGAGATCGCAATGAGCTGTAATTTTCTCTGAAAACAGCTTCCTCAGGAATATGCTGTGAAAGTTATGAGTATATTTTGCAGAATTCTGCGTGCAGTACACAAATCAGCGGCGTAGAAGTTTCTTCGGTCTTGCAAAAGTTTCTTTGTGCGACAAACCGCCGCACGCCAATTTCATCTCTAACAAGCACAACTGGCAAAGTGACTGGAAAATTCGACATTAGCGTGTACCATTACTAGCGCTGCGATTTACATTTCAACTTTGGTCACATCTTTTGAAGTTCTTTAAAAGCTCTTTTTTTAATTAATTCTCCAATGTCGACCGTGCTCCTTAACAAGTTATCAAAGATGTCATAAAGTATAAATACAGATTGAGTCTTTTACTTTCTCATTCGCAAAATTTTAGCTTTACGAAGATTATTCGTTTAGAAAATAGAAACCATAAATACAAACTAAAATATTAGTCATAAATGTCGACAAAAATATTTCTAATTATGTCAATGCGATTTGTAAGTTTGATATGTAGATATAAATATTATAATTTAACCCATTAAATATGTTTTAATGTTAGATACATTTGAATTTACTTTCATTTCTACCTTCTCTTAATTTCTATAATTCGCAAATTCGACATAATTACATTATGTTATATGTGCCATTAATAGATAATTAATTCACAGTCGAGTCGATCTAGATTTTGTGGAAACCTCTATAAAGACAATTTACGAGTAAAGGACTTACTTATTTCTAAATTTCTCATTTCACGGCTAAATTAACGGCATGTGGTCGTGTGCACTAAAATCTCATCATTAATAATAATTATTATCGACGAGTCGAGACGGACTCCCTCGAGATTCCGAAATTTGCATGCGCATTAATCCCATTTCGTTTAAGGGCTCGTCAATCATACCGCCCTCGTCTAGCTGATGGCGGTACGTCGAGCTCAGAAATGTTCTGTACGAATGAGCCGCGAGACGGACTTAATAACATTTTGGACAGGGCATACTTAAAATTAGCCTAATTGTACTTCCTTATTATTTTCCAAGAAAGGCTGCAATTTGATAGTATTATCCGAAAAAGTTAGAGGAATTATATAGTTGCGTCACATCTAATACCATATACAAATCCAAATTATTTACGCTATTAAATCCTACCATAATATAAATATATTGTTATGCTTTCTATAATACAAATAAGAGAAAATAGACACAAAATTACGCAACGTTACTATATATATCGACTAAATTTGAATTTTTTTTTAAAGATAATATTCTCTTCCTTAATCTGAAGAAAAAAATTGGATACAAAAAATTAAATTAAAAATTTCATAAAGAATTAAAACTAATATACTGAAGGAATATAAAGGAATATCGTTACGATGATGAAAAAATATAGGTATTATATTTTTTTTAATATTTTGTCGATATTTTAATGACCTTTCAACAGTTATTTATTTTATTTTGTTATGTATTATTTATTGTAAAATACTATTTGCCGAAATACAATTTCTTCTACTTAGCACAACACAATTGATTGTAATAAAAAATACTGGAAATTCTAAACTAAATTTACATTTGAGCAGTAATTACTCTTTGTAGTGGAACAACAAGAAATTACTCCATTCTGTGACATTTAACTCCTACGCTGTCACGTATATCAAATAAATGGTAAATTTGATAACACCTACGCAGCTTTCCTTAATGATCAATAGTTTCTAAACGATGATGTAATAAATACGAGCATTTTCCACTGGACTCAAAAGCAACGTCTATTTATCAGTATGCTGGTTCACGTCTTACGTCACAACTTGCTATAGATAGAATGTAATCCGTTGTAAAATATCAAATATTTCAACGAGTGTTAACACCCACGTAATAACGCGTTTCAAAAGGTTCTCTGCGTTGGCGGTAATTCTCAAGGCACAAAACATGGAAAAAATATTTCCACGTTTAATCTTCACGATTTAGCGATTATTTTTTGTTCATTTAATGGTGTTCTATTTGCGCTGAACGATATATAAAGGATGTAAAATATAATACGACAAATAAATTTTATAAAACTGGGTGCAGAGAGATTTTAACACGATAATAAATACAATAATTAATTGATACATTATTATTTGCAAACTATTGTTTAAACATATGTACGTACATAGCAATAAATGTATCTAAATGAGACATTTAGCAATCAAAAGATATTTAGCGCGTGTAAATTCGTGTCTATTCCCTTCCAATTATACAAGGCGTAACGATATATTCGTATTACGATTGGATTATCAAATATCTGACCGTTACGGAATTTTAAAACCACTTGCCACAGATTCAATTGCGTAGATATCGAAGTATATATCCAGGTGCACTCGATAACGAAATATCGCCAATAATTAAGTAAACGGCACTCAAAAAATTCGAATGTATCTTCAAAAAAAAATCTGTACGAACATTGGCGCGAATTGTGACTCGCGTGTTATAACGGTTAGAATATAACATAGATATTTATAATATAGATAAGTGTGTACAGTTATTTTAATGCAGCTTGTATAATCTGACGGCTGGAAAGCAAATTGATAAATTTAAGATGTAGAAGTATCTGTAAAAATTTAAAAAATTGCATTAACGCGCGTTCAACCGAAGGTAATAATATAATCTGACAAGTCTTTTCCATAAACTTGGGAAAATGGAATTTAAAATTAGATTCGAATCGATTCTCTTCAAGATTGGATGAAACAAAAGTGAATTAAGCTATTGTTACATTCTTTAATTGTCAACGATATCCCGATTCAATTAATCCTCCTCCTTTCATTACGCCCCTGAATGATATCTATTTTTTTCTGCGATCATTTCCTGAGACAATACTAGCTCTGCGCGCTCGTTTCGATTATCTGCGATTGGCGACTGTTGCAATAGACACCCGCGCGTATCTCTCGGTTTATAAACCGGAACGTGACGGTACGAGGGTTCGTAGTCAATCCGATACCTTTGATGTAGCCGTTACACCCCAGGCCACCGAGCTTTTGAGCCGGGGTCGCTGCGATGGTTCCCTCTTCCCTAATAGACTGTTTATCTCGTAAGCTCAGATTTAGATTCGGATTAGGATCGATTATACGAGCGCATGTGTGCGTGCGCGTCAGTCAGGAGTGTTGCTGTCGTATGAATAACATTTCTTTTATTTTTACTGCGTAGAAAAGTCACACAACACTGTCGAAAATTTGAAATTTTAACACTCGACTTTGAAGTTGTTCGATTTAATTGGCAGTTTATTTAATTTTGATATTTTTGTTTCATACAACACCGCAGTTTCCTTTACTTGTCATCGAGTAAGCTTTACGTATAAACCGAAGGTTTCTATTTACACCACTGATACACGTGCACACCCTGACAATCGCTCGTCAGAAGTTATATTCCATGATATGGTCCACTAAAAGTGTTTGTCTCCGAAACCGATAAAACGCTCGAGGCTGCGCGCAAATTTGATCGCAAGAGATTCGCGTGATTGTCTTGGATGCTTTCAAAGCGTT